AAATGAAGAAATGAAACCTGCCTTTTGCATGGTTGATGCTTGATAATAGCATTTGAAAACATCTTAGAAGCTCTGTCAGGCAATGAAAATTTGCATCCCTATAACTTTTTATAGTTTCCAATTTGCTTCCTAGTACTTAAAGCAATAATAACAACAGTAATAATAGAAGCCAGCAATTATGGAGCCCCTACTGTGTGCCGAGCACACTACTGAGTACTTTATATGCATGTATTATGGAATCCTCCAAGCAGCTCTAGGCTCAGAACCGTGTGATGCTCGCATCTCATTCTAAGTAAAAGCCAAAACCCTTTTAAGGATCCACAAGTCCCTAAATGATCCAATCCCACACTCCCCACCTCTCTGATCTCATCTACTGTTCACCCCCCGATTCACACTGTACCAGCTACACTTAACCCTTTCCTTGAACATTCAGGGCCTTTGCACCTGCTCTTGCTTCTGCCTAAAATGCTCTTTCCACATACAAACGGGTAGCTGACTCACCTTCTTTAGTTTTCTGCTTCTCAGAGAGGCTTCCGTGACCATCCAGGTAAAATAGCAACCTATCCCTGGCACCTCCTAGCCCCCCCTGTGTAAAACACCTGCTGTGTTTTACTCTATAAGCACTTAGCTGCATCTGACATAATCGTGTCTCTCCACCTGTGAGACTGTAAAGTCCCAGAGGGCAAGGAACTCAGTCTGTTTTTGTCACTGCTGAGAAGCCAGAGCCGAGAAGAATGTCTGGCACAGAGTAGGTGCTCAATACATATTTGTTGAGTGAGTGAACAGATACATGCCCCACGAGGTAAATGCCAGCTGAGGTGCGTGAGCTCAGAGAAGGAAATGTGCTCTTGTCATGCAACAGAAGGGGCCATGACAGGACTCTTAACTCAAAACTGGAAGAACCCAGGGCTTGAACTTCAGGGCCAGGACTCAGTCTCAGCACCTGCCTCAGGTCCCTCTCGTCCTCTCCCCTGTCTCTGCTCCTGAATCTGTCAGATGGAGCCTGATCCAGGGCTGGACTCCATCAGTGCACTTCCTGTAGGCATCTCTGCAAAATTTTGTGTGTCTTCTAATGGTTGGATGTGACAGGCAGAGACAAGGAGGCTCGGAGCAGAACCAGGGGCCACCCAGGGGGACGAAGGGGTTTCTGAGCAGCAAGATAACAGGAGGTAGCCTTGAGGGGCTAGATCAACCCCAGAGAGGTCAGTGTCCCTCACAGCTCAGGGGTCAGAGTGGGGACTGTTCCATGATCAATTCAGGCCCCAAACCTTCCCTGAACTCTGGCCTGGACCCCTCCTGCTTGGACCTAAGAGCCCAGGAATGATCTGGACTTGGATAGTAGAGTGGGAGGCGGAGACAAAATAAGATTCCTCAGACCCACAGATGTGTGGTGGGTCCTTCAAGGGGTATTATTTTTATTTCTTCTCAGCTCTATTCTAATCCTTCCAGTAGAGTAGTGTCTCCCCACTGCACAGAGAAAGTGAGGCTCAGAGTGGTTGAGGAAGCTTCCCTGGGTCACTTAGCTAGGAAGGAATAAATCTGGATTGATGACAATGATAATAATAATAATGTGACTTTGGGGACTTCCCTTGTGGTCCAGTGGTTAAGAATTCGCCTGCCAATATAGGGGACACAGGTTCAACCCCTGCTTCAGGTAGATTCCACATGCCACGGAGCAACTCAGCCCGTGTGTCACAGCTAGAGAGTGGATTGCGCTCACCGCAGCTAGAGAAAGCTTTACATAGCAATGAAGACCCAGAGCACAGCCAAAAATTAATTAATTACTTTTAAAATAATAACGTGACTTCCAAGACCAGGTCACAAAAGGCACGTGGCTGCCGTGTTACCCCCTCTTGGCTCGCTTGCTGCCGGGGAGGCCAGCCGCCATGTTGTGAGGGCACTCAAGCAGCCCCACGGCAAGGCCCTTGCAGTGCGGAGCCGAGGCCGCCTGCCCCCAGCCTTGTGAACGAGCCCCCGGAGCAGGTCCTCCCAACCCCAGCTCACTCCTTCACTGCGGCCTCCTGAGAGACCCTGCGACAGAGCCAGCCAGCTGAGTCACTCCCTGGTTCCTGACCCACAGAAACAGTGCGAGATAAATATCTGTTCTTTTAAGCAGATCTACGAGTTTTCTTTTTTCTGCTGTGTAGCCAATTACCACAGACCTAGTGGCTTAATAAATTTATTATCTCAAAGTTTTCCTAGGTCAGAAATTTGCCATAAGTTTTCTGCTCGAGGGTCTCACTGGGCCAAAATCAAGGGGTCAGCTGGGGTCCCAGTTCCCATCTGGCGACTCTGGGGGAAAATATCTGCTTCCAGGCTCCTTGATTCTGGCAAAATTCAGTTCCTGTGGTTGTAGGTCTGAGGTCCCTGTTTCCTTGCCAAGTATCAGCCGAGGGCTGCTCTCAACTCTAGAGGTGACCCACATTTCATCCACACATGGCCTCTCCTCCTCCACTCCAGCAGCACATCTTTCCTGTGCTTCAAATCTCTGACTTCCTCTTCTGGCACCAGCCAGAGAAAACGCTCCACTTTTGAAGGATTCAGGGGGATTAAGTTAGAGCCACTGGATAACCTCCCTTTTGTAAAACCAACCTTGTATCGTAACCTAGTCACAGGAGCAGAATCCATTATAAACATGTCCTGGGGATGAGATGGGGTGGCGGGAAAGGATGGGAGCTCTCTTAGAATTCTTCCTTCCGTAGCACCAAGAGCTGGGGTGATTTGTACACGGAAATAGAAAACTAACGCAGCTGTTGAGAAGCTTTTTCCATATGGAAGCTCACGTCCTTCAGATTTAGAACCTTTTTTCCCCTCCATTTTTTCTGTCCCCTAACACCGATGAGCCGGATGTTGCATCTTCAGGGACAATCCTCTCCTTTGTTGATCTTTTTATGTCAGATTTTTTAACTCTGTCTTTCTGGCTTTCCAGTCACTTGCAAGGCTAATAGTGAAAGTTTTTCTTTCTGCCCTCACCTCTCTAGTTCTTTCTTGGTCACTGAATGTTCCTTTATGCAGCCTCTGGTTCTCATTTTAGAGATAAAACGTCTCTTATTGCTCTTAGGGTTTTGTTGTCTTGTTTTCCTCCTCCCTGCATTGGCCCTGTTTTCCAGGAGCTCTTTTCCTCTGCTGGTGTTGATCTCTGATTTTCCTTGTACAAGCCTGCCTCCAGTGTCCAGTGATCCTCATCTGTGAGTTCACACTAAAGATCAGGAAACTGAAAACAGACCATCAGAAGCTTGCTGACTATGGACAGGGCGTGTGGATAGGTGAGTCTCATCCAGGCAGCTGGGCAGGCTCTGGCTGTCACGGTAGAATCCCAGAGTCAGCGTCTGAAGTGTCCTCTCCTAGGTGGGTCAGTTTCTCCACAGAGGATCCCCCAGTCTCCAGCCTGGGGCGGGTGGGGGTGGGAAGGGGAAGTAGGGCTGCCAGATTCCAGGGACCACACTGGGTGGTGGGACTCATGACCTTTCTTTTTACCCTTTGTGTCAAGCCTGTCCACACCTTCAATTCAGCCTCCTGTCCTCAAGTTCAAGGCCTCCGGCACTGGTTTTATTTCGATGGTATGTTTATTAGTCTTATGGAGTGAGAAGCTAAGAGAGCTGTTGTTATTTAGTCACTGCTGCTGCTAAATCGCTTCAGTTGTGTCCGACTCTATGTGATGCCATAGACGGCAGCCCACTAGGCTCCCCCGTCCCTGGGATTCTCCAGGCAAGAATACTGCAGTGGGTTGCCATTTCCTCATCCAGGGGATCTTCTCCACCCAGGGATCAAACCCCTGTCTCCTGCATTGGCAGGCAGATTCTTTACCACTGAGCCAGCTGGGAAGCCTAGTGTTGTGGAGTGAGAAGCTAAGAGAGATTGGAGGACTAAGAGTCTCCCAAATTATCCCTTTTTCCAAAATACTTATTTTCATTTATTTATTTGACTGAGCTGGGTCTTCACTGCAGCATGTGAGATATACTTCCCTGACCAGGGATCGAACCCAGGTCCCCCGCATCAGGAGCACAGAGTCTTAGCCACTGAACCACCAGAAAAATCCCCAGAATTGTTCCATTGCAGATCCATGATGCCAGGTGATGTAGTATAAAAATGAACCAGACAGGTTCTGCAGTCCGGGCTGAAGACCTCCTGATTTCTGCGCACCTGCTGTGTACTGGGCACTGAATCTGAGTCCAGGTTTTTTCCTTCAGGGACCTTTTGGCCACGTCTGGAGACCCTTTTGGTGTTGCAGCTGGGGGTGGCGGTGGGTACTACTGGCGTCTAGTGGGCAGAGGCAGGCACACTCCTCACATCCTACCGGGCACAGGACTGCCCCCAGAGCAGAGAAGTCAGTCGTGATGAGGTGGCGAGTCCTGCCCTAGAATGATGGGACATGTTCCCTGGCTTCATGGGGAGGGAGCAAAGGTTTTCTGTCTCCTCAGCACCTGCTGTGTGTTTTCACAGCAACCCCACCACCCAGGGGTCCTCCGCTCTCAGCCTGGGCGAGGGGTGTTGGGGTGGGTACCACACATGCCTTCTCCTGCCTAGTTCCCCACCCCCCGCTTCAGCCTCGGGGGAGGAGCATAGGGTGGCAGCAGCTATCAGGGTGCAAGCTGGCCCAGACCTGTGGCCCTGCTTGACGTTGGTCCCCACCAAGCCATGTGACGAGACCAGGCCACAAGAAAGAGGTTTCAACAGCGTTATCGCTTCCTGGAACTCCAACTCGGCGACTTCCCCGAAGACCGGCTGTGCCTGGCGGGCGGGCTGTGCGCGGCGGGGACCGAACTGTGCACCACGGGGACCAGGCTGTTCCCTTCCTCCTCCGCTCTCCCCGCAAGCTGCCACCCCCTCTCTCAGTCTGACTACCTGGAAAGACTCCCCCCTCCCCGGGCCCAGCACCCCCATGGCTTGGCTGTCGGTTCAGCACCAGCCCCAGGAGTGGTGGGCCATGGCTGATCCCGGGGGTCCTTCCAGTGACCTCTAGGATGCTTGGACCGAGCTGAGCCGGGCTGAGACCCCAGATGTCCAGAAACCCACCCACTCTCCTCTCTGCCCCTGATGGGGTGACTGGCAACCAGCTTGGGCACAGATTTGCTTCAGTCTGCAAAATGGACACAAATCTGCCATTCCATTTCATCTGCCCATCAGACAGATGGTAGGCAGACACACAATTCCTGTTTCTGTCTTGCTGGTTTGAGCCTTGGAAACCCAGAGAGGGAAAAGTCCCATATTGGCAGGGGCAGAGAGGGGACAGAAACTGAAGGTTTCTTGGATGTCATTATCTCTGGGTGACTGTGATGACTCTGGAATAAGTCACTTCCTTGAGTCCCCACTTCACAGAAATCTAGACTGTAAATATAGACCTGGCCGCAATGGGGTGGGGTTGTGGGGGCCTGGGTAGCCAGAATGAGAGGGTGGGTGAAGAGGAGGAAGCAAGGAGAAAACTCCATCCTCTGAGCAGGCAGGCGTCCCAGGGTCCTGCCAGTGGGGTTTACTTATTCTGTCGAAATGAAAATGCTCTGATGTTGAACTGTATTGCCAATACTCCTGTGTTTTTGACCTACAAAATCAGCAATTTCATGTGATTCAGCCTAAGATGATCCACCCCCCCAGACTGTTTCAAGAATTAAAGATAGCATGACATGCTTAGCTGCATGCCTGTATATAATTAGTGCTAAGTCAAGAATAGCCCTTATGTCGTATAACATAGATCATATCTCTTATCTAATAATATATCACCAATGATATTAGTGATACTAAATGTTATCCATTTTCTCCTCCATCCTCCATTTGTCAAATCCAGGTTGATTGATCATGCAGTGTGTACCCAGGATGAGTGTAAGCATTCTTCATTGTCACCAACACTCAATGTCACCCCTGATTCCCAAGCATGCGTCCTGTGCAGGCAAGTGGTGAAAGCTCCCCATTTGTGCCCACAGGTGCCTAAGCCAGCACATCACTACATGTCACTTGTCATTCTGAACACCCCTGCTGGGACCTCCCAATAATAGGACCTCTTATTACTAACTTGTGCAAGCCGCAGCTGGCTCACGGGTTATCTTGAGTTTACATTCAGCCATGGTGTTTGGGCCAGATGTCAACCTGAATTGGGAATATTGCTGTTCCTAAACACAGTATAGGATTTTACATCAGTGCCTTTAATGTCACCTTGGTGTCTGCTCTGTGTCTTAATCCAGGGCGTATTTGGGATCCCAGTGACTGGTTCACCATCCTTGCAACAAGCAGATCATCTTAGAGTCTCATGAAGGAATCTGGGAAGATGGGGGAAAAGGATGGAGCTGAGGCCAGAGCTCTGTGGCACAGTTCTGAAGACCTGTTGGCCAGTTGGTTTGTGTGTGTGTGTGTGTGTGTGTGTGTGTGTGTGTGTGGTTAACAATTTACTAAGTCAGAGACCCAGTCAGGAGGTTGATGCTTCTGTCTGAATTCAGACCTCACTTAGGTCCAATTTTGGTTTTGCCACATGTTAACTCTGTGGCCCTTGGCAAGTCATTTCACTTCTCTAGGCCTCAGTTTCCTCATCTGAAAAATGGATCCTAATAGTCCTACCCTACAGAGGGGTAAGAAGGACGAACCGAGACCGCGGGTGTGTATGTGGTGACCCAGTGGTGTCTGGCATATGGTGGGTGCTCAGTGCGAGCCTGAGTTTGAGAACTAGCCGGTGGCACAAGTCGCTTCTGCACCAGGTCCCTCCTGGGAAGGCCAGCAGCAGCATGACCAAGGCAGCGCTGAGGCAAGGCTGCCGCTCAGAGACACGCCAGCTGGCTCCTCGGAGGGCCAGCCCCCCTGTCAGCACAGAGTGCCCACAGCCTCTGCTGATGAAGCCCTGCCGGCCAGCAGCCCCTCCCTCCCACCCTGCCCGGGGATCTGGGCCTCCCCCAAACAGGAGCGGCTTCCCCTCTCTGCACAGCAGGTTTCCGTCTGTAAAGAAGGAGCAAAACCTCAGTGGACCCTTGAGAGCATCCAGTGAGATGTGCCTCAGAAGGACAACATGGGTCGCCTTCCGGGCTCCAGCTGGACCTCGGCTTCCTTACTGATAAAACAGGTACCACTGTTAGGACCTTGTCAACCAGTGACTTGGAAGGCTGTTCATGAAATGCTCAGTGGAAAAAGCAGGTTATGATTTGGGTTATGAAGAGTGGTATCTTCCTTGCTTTATGTCCCTGGATATGTCCCAGTGTCTCCTACTTTATAGTCTATGGGAACTTGAAGAGAATTCGTATCCTACTATTGGGTGAAAATTGTATAAATCTTAATTATGTTGAATTAGTTCACAGTGCTTTTCAGGCCTACTTTATACTATTTTTCTGTATATTCATTCTATTAACTTCTGAGAGTTTGATGTTGAAATTCCAATTAAAAACCTTAATTTATCTACTTTAAAAAATAATTGTAATATATGTAGCTTTGTTCTGTATTTTCCAGCTTTCCTGTAAATGTGTTATCATACTATCATAATTTAAAAAGAAAAAAGAATGGTGTCTTTTTTAAGAAAAAAGTGTGTATCTGGAAATCAGGAAAATATATAAGATGTATTTTGTGCTATCATTATTGGTAGATTCTTTTACTAATTTAACAACAAATGTGAAGATTAAAAAATAATGTGGACTGATCCAGGATGTGATTGTGGGGGCGGGGAAGCAGTGGGGATATGGAAACTCTGTGCTTTCCACCCAATTTTGATGTGAACTAAAACTGCTCTAAAAATAAAGTCTGTTTTAAAAAAGAAAAAAGGGAAGGAAAATTTTTTAATGTGGAATTTTTTTTTTTTCCCAGCACAAAAAAGTTAAGAACCACCATGAACAAGGAGGTGTGAAAGTGTCTGCATTCCAGCTTTCCTTGAGAGCAGATGTCAGCCGGAGAGGGGAGCACCCTGGGCCCCAGATCCTGGCAAAACTAGTCTTGCTTCTTTCAGTCGGAGAGTTGTTCGGCCTCTTCTTAGGATGCGTGATTCCATCTCACCCACTCACCCTTTGTTCCAGGCAAACCTGACCCCTGACCCTCGCTGCTCTTCAAACTCTGATTACCCAAGACTCTCTGGGGTTGCCAGTGACAGAAGCGTAACTCAGACAAGCATAAGCAGAAAGGGAGCCTTGTGGTGTGTGTCACAGGTGAGCCCAGGCGTGGGTTTCAGGTCTGGCTGGATGTGGGGGCTCCCACGATGCATTGCGGCTCCGTCTTGTGCTTCTTCTCTTCCACCCTTTCGACCCCGCAGGCACGATGGCTACCAGCGGGCCTCCGTTTAGAGGAGAGAGTTCCTGCAGAAAAAGTCCCAGGAGGGTCTCTGACTGGTCCAGCTTAGGTCACGTGCCTACCCTGAACTGGGGCATGGGGAACTCAGGCCAGGCCTTGCCCACATCCACCTGTGGTCACAGGCGCTGTGGCAACGCCCCCCTCAGGACCTTACAGAAGCGGGTGGGGCAGTTCCCTGAGAGCAGTGCCCCCTGTGTGGACCCTCCTTTCCAGCCGCTGTGTCTCTGCACCTGCTGGCCCCTCTCCCTCTTTGGAATGTGGGCAAAGAGACTGTCAGGTCACGACTGTTCTGCGAGGGCCCAGGTGCCTCATGGAGAGGAATGAGGGTGCATTTTGGGCTCCCACAAACCTGGCTGTGAATCCCTGCTGTGCTCCAATAGGCTGTGTAATGTAGGCAAGTCACTTGAGCTCTCTGAGCCTCACGTTTTTCTCCTAACTTTGTCTCTCCACGGAGAGGTGCTTGTATGTGGGAGCCCAGGGCCTGGGGTGGAGGGCGAGCTCCAGTGAGACAGCCACGGTCAGGATCTGGATGCTGACTGGAGTTCGCTTAGGGGAGAGGCTAGGCCACCTTCGGATCTCCCCTCTAGCTATGACGTCTTGGGCAAATACATCCACCACACTTCTCTGAGCCTTAGTTTCTCTGCCTGCAAAAAAAGAAAGAAACTTGCCTCTACAGGGACAGTTATACAGATTCACTGGAAGGACTGAAGCTCCAATACTTTGGCCACCTGACATGAAGAGCTGACTCATTAGAAAAGACCCTGATGCTGGGAAAGATTGAGGGCAGGAGGAGAAGGGGATGACAGAGGATGAGATGGTTGGATGGCATCACCGGCTCAATGGATATGAGTTTGAGCAAGCTCTGGGAGATGGTGGAAGACAGGGGAGCCTGGTGTGCTGCCGTCCGTGGGTCACTCAGTCAGACACTACTGAGCAACTGAACAACGACACACAGATATGGGAGATTACAGAGGTCACTTTGCACATGCTGTTCCCTCTGCCCGAGATGCCCTTCCCCACCCTGACTGCCCAGGTGGGTTCTTTCTCAACTCATGCTTTAGGACTCTGACAGTGGCGTCCCCAGGGTGCCTCCCCTAACTCTACATCCTCCACCGTCCTCTTAAACTAGTTAGCTCTTTTCCTGGTTCCCCCTCACCCTCCACCAACCCTGCAGCCACCTGGATCAGGGGATACCAAAATCCCACTGATGCCCTTTTTCTCCTAACTCTCTGAACAGCTCAGATTGGTCTCCTCCCTTGCACCTGGGCCTGTTGGAAGCATGAATAAACATTTGTGGAATGAATGCTTGACTCCCAAATTTTCTTTCTGGAGGGGTCCCCCCAACTCTGATATGGGCCTGTAGTGCCGTCTCTGCTGGGAGCATGGCACCCACCAGGGGAGGGGGAACTTGGGTGAGGGAGGAAGTCCAGGTTGCCACTGGTAGCCCAGGCAGCTGATTTCTAAGAAACCAGCTGAGGGACAGGAAGACTGGGGCAAAGCTCAGGATGGCTTTTACTTTCAGTTTTCTGCATCTGGAGCAGTATAGGTACCCAAGGTTCTTGGCTGGGAGGGGACGGTGTTACAGTCACAGCATTGTCAAATGTCAAGGACACAGCCAGCACTTCAGGACCCAGACCAGGCCCGGAGCCCAGAGAGGCCTTGCCCTGCCCCATCCACAGCTGTCAGGGTAGGAGCAGGGGCCGCTGGGGGTAACGGCCGCCCGGCCCGGCCCAGCCATCAGGGCTTCCTCTTTATTCACTTGACCTTTATTTTGTACATGGTTTGGATTATTTATTCCTTCACCCATTCATTCATTCATTCCCTCATTCATTCACTCACCCATCCATCCACAAGTCCTTTCTCTCCTAAGACCTCTCTGTCTTCTCTTTCCTTCCTATTTTCCCATGTTGTCTTTCCTCTCCTCTTCCCACTCCCTGTCTCTCCAGCTTTGCCTCTTGCTCCCTCGCTCTGCCGATCTGCACCCCTTGCTTCCCCCCCACTCTTTCTGACTGACACCCTTTTTTTCCCCGGGGGAGGTGATGGCTGAGCTGGGCTTCGAAGACTGAGCAGGAGTTTGCCAAGTGAAGAGAAGGCAAGAGAAACGTCAAAGACTTCCCCTGAGTTGCTCAAAAGGCCAGAGGATGATGGAAGCAGATGGGGAATGTGAAGGGGACAGTGAGGGGCTAAAATGTACAGTGGGGCTGGGCAGTGAAGGACCTCAGAGCCCCTGGGAAAGGGATCAGATTTTATTGTCTAGCAGCTGGGAGCCACTAGAGTGCTCTGGGGTCACCTGACTTGGTCCAAGTACTGCTCCTGTGACTTTCAGCAGCCGTGAGATCTAGACAAGGAGCTCAACCTCTCCTGGCCTAGCCTGTAAAATGAGACAATAAGGATACCCATCTAGAAAGAGCTAGATAAAGGGGAACCAGTAGCAATACTCACTTGCAGGGGGAGCCAAGGGTATGTGTGTGTGATTTGGGGTGTCAGGTGACTGAATCAGTAGTTTAGATGGTCACACCCAATTCCCTCCATTGCCTGCAAAGGGGCCGAGCACACATCTCTGGTCCTCAGTTCCCCATCTGCAATCCAGTGAGGGAGAGGTCCACTTTGAGCTCAAGCCTGCACTCGTCGCCCCACCCCCACGCCCTGCCCACCTGGCTGGGGAGCCCACCAGGCCCCCCTCCCACCAGGAGCCGAGGTAGTTTCGCTTTGACCCACCTTCCAGAAACTGTGGCCCTTCCTGTCACCAGGTTAGCACAGAGGGAACTTGGTAAAAGATAAGATTAGCAGCACGGAGGAACCCCAGGCTGGCCATGCTAGGCTTTCATTTTTAGTGTCCCAAGCTGGGCCCCCTACATAGGGTCCACCCTGCCCTGCCAGCGTCACACCTCATATTGAGCATGTACTCTGTGCTTATAATCACTTCCTTTTAATACTCTGTACCTGTGAGATCTGAGGGCTTACCCATTTCACAGGTGAGGAAACTAAGGCTCTGCCCACGAACACACAGCTGGCAGCCAAGCTGGGCAGTTTCCCAGGCACGGGATGGGTGTCCTGGAGGGTTCCTGGATGATGGTTTTAGGTGAGACCCAGGGACATTTTGATAAAACATTGAGTTGCTGTGAAAGATTTCCTATTTTCCACTCAAGTAAAGGAGACAGTCTCATATGGGTGCTACTGTGTCTTAAACACCTCTCTGACACTTGACATGTCTCTCTCTTCCCCTCCCTCCCTTGCTCTCAACCACACACAAAACAGGCTTTTTTGTTTGTGTGTGTGCTCAATCATGTACGACTCTTTGCAACTTCATGGACTGTAGTCCGACAGGCTCCTCTGTCCATGGGATTTTCCAGGCAAGAATACTGGAGTGGGTTGCCATTTCCTCTTCCAGGGGATTTTCCCAACCCAGGGATCGGACCCGCATCTCCTTCGGCTCTTTCATTGGCAGGTGGATTCTTCACCACTGCACCACCTGGGAAGCCCACACACAGCAGACCTTCTCTGAAAGTAGAGCAAGACACCAATCTCTAGCTAAAACTTATTAACACTGTTTGAATTTCATTGCATTTTTTTCAAGGGTTATCTTTTTGTGGCAGGTGACTCTGGCTTTCTGTGTATAGTAATGGTACATTTCCCTTTGAATAAAACTTACCTAAGGAGACCGAGTAACTTGAAGAATATCATTAAATAACATAACAGCTGCAACTTGGATAGAGCTGGTAAAAATCATAAAAGTGGATCTCCGGTGTCTGACGGTTTGGAAACCTCAGCTTAAAGCAAGGGGATGGCTGTAAAATCGGGCTGCCTGTGTTGGAACCTCCTAGGTTCTGCCACATAGTCGCTGTATGACCCTGGGCACTTTATTTAACCTCTCTGTGCCTGTTTTCTCATCTGAAAAATGAGTATCATAACAATAATAGTGTCTGTTTCATATGGTTCTTGTGAGGGTTAAATGAAATACAATGCATGAATTACATAGAACAATGCCTAGTGTCTAGTGAGCAATTGACAGGATGAGCTGGTAGCCGCCACTGTTTGTAGCAAATGACAAGTTGAGAATGCAACCAAGTCTGTCTTGACTTCATGGCTGTGCTCACTCAAATACACGGGGCAGCCTGTGTGAAGCAAAATAGTAATAATTATTGTAACCTCTATATTTGCGTGGTGATCCAAGTTATCTCCACTTAGAATAAATCATTTGATCCTCATATCCCTTCCGAAGCAAGGCAGAGTGGGTCTCATTTAGTCTTGTTGTTGTTATTCAGTCACTCTGTTGTGTCCGACTCTTTGTGACCCCCTGGACTGCAGCACACCAGGGTTCCCTGTCCTTCACCATCTCCCGGAGTTTGCTCAAACTCATGTTCAGTGAGTTGATGATGCCATCCAACCATCTCGTCCTCTGTTGTCCCCTTCTCCTCCTGCCCTCAATCTTTCCCAGCTTCAGGATCTTTTCCAATGAGTCAGCTCTTTGCATCAGGTGGCCAAAGTATTGGAGCATCAGCATCAGTACTTTCAATGAATATTCGGGGTTGATTTCCTTTAGAATGGACTGGCTTGATCTCCTTGAAGTCCAAGGGGCTCTCAAGAGTCTTCTCCAGCATTGAATCTAATTCTGGTTTTATAGATGAGGCCACTACAGTCACACTGTTAACAGGACTCGAAACCAGGGCCTGGGTCCCCGGGCTTTCTGCTCCTCCGTGCCGCCTCCCACAGTGAAACGTTGAGGGGAGGGGCCACCAAGGCTGACTCACCCAGGCCTCATCCCCTCCTCTCCACCCTGCTCCTGGATGCGCCTACTGGCTGCACCCAAGTGTGAGAGGTATGGGAGGGAGTGTCTCATCCCACAGGCCGCTGCAGGTCCCCAGGCGGGGCCAGCCCCGAATGTCACCCTCTTAACGCAGGATCCAGATGTCAGGCTCACACCATTCCTGTCTTTGCCCGTCAGCATTTGCACCCATTCCCCACCCCCACCGCCTACTGCCAGGACTGCCCCAGAGCCACCCCCCCAGGGTCCCTTCTGATCAAGCAGCCCTCTCCTAGGCTGAATTCTGATGCAACCTTGCAGATAAGTTACCAGCCCACTGTCTCATGTGGCTTCCCAGCCTGTGCTAGGGAGAAAAGGATGAATGAGGTGCTCTGAGCCCTGGCTGGTTGTATGGCTCTGAACATCCTCCAGGGTGGCCCTAAGTCTCAGAAACTTATTAACCCATGAACCCCTGAGCATGGTAGTTGGTAAGATCATGACCCTGGGCATCAAGTACCTGGAGTCAAACTGTGGCTTTGCCATTTACACATTTGTGGTGGGGGGTGGGTAATTCCTTCACTTTTCTGAGCCCACCTCCGTGATACAACCTTGGCAAAGTATAAGCATCCTTTAGCTGCTCGGTAATTGACATTATATTAAAACAGCAGCAAGGCAAGGATCATAAAGCAGAGAGGCCAACCCTAATTATTGGAGACCTATCAAGTGTTAAACACTGTACAGGTACCCTTTTACTTAATCTCGTCCATGGGATGGGTCAGTCAGTCAGTCAGTCAGTCAGTTCAGTTGCTCAGTCAACCCCATGAATCGCAGCACGCCAGGCTTCCCTGTCCATCACCAACTCCCGGAGTCCACTCAAACTCATGTCCATCAAGTCGGTGATGCCATCCAATCATCTCATCCTCTGTCATCCCCTTCTCCTCCTGCCCCCAATTCCTCCTAGCATCAGAGTCTTTTCCAAAGAGTTAACTCTTCACATGAGGTGGTCAAAGTACTGGAGTTTCAGCTTCAACATCAGTCCTTCCAATGAACACCCAGGACTGATCTCCTTTAGGATGGACTGGTTGGATCTCCCTGCAGTCCAAAGGACTCTGAAGAGTCTCCTCCAACACCACAGTTCAAAAGCATCAATTCTTCGGTGCTCAGCCTTCTTCACAGTCCAACTCTCACATCCATACAAGACCACTGGAAAAACCATAGCCTTGACCAGACAGACCTTTGTTGGCAAAGTAATGTCTCTGCTTTTTAATATGCTACCTAGGTTGGTCATAACTTTCCTTCCAAGGACACGGGACGGGTACAGTGATTAATCTCATTTGCAGGTGAGAAAGCTAGCGTTCAGGATCTGGGTGCTCTGTGAGTTGGTGCAGCAGTGGCGGGTGTGCACTGGTATGGACTGGAAGCTCTTTTTGGTCTCTTGAGACCAGAGTGGGCTGGGAGATCCTGCTCTTACGGGCTTGACCTGACGGCCCTCTCTGCGTGGGTGTTGAGGGCAGGAAGGTCTTCCAAGCGGGTAGCAGGCCCAGAGCGGCATTAGGACCACACGGAGGCCAGAGGGGCTGCAGAGCAGGTGGGGGGGGGGGGGTACCTGCCCCGGCTCAGAGGGGCTTTGGGGAGCCCGAGCACAGTCGAAAGGAGGCGAGCACTGACAAGACCCGAGGAGCAGGTGAGGGCGGCCAGTGACGTCATCAGTGCGCGGCACCCGGCGGCCTGGGCGCCCTGGGGCCCGGCGAGGCCTTGAGGCGACGGCACTCTTCCGAGGACAAGCCCTTCACCTTGAGACCTAATGAGGCGAGGGAACAGCATGTACAAAGGCCCAGTGGCAGGAAGGAGTGCGGTGAGTACTGAGGCCAGCCGCGTGGGTCCTCGGGGGGCAGTTGGGCCTTCTCCTGAGCGCATCTGGGAGCCGTTGGAGGACTGGGGCTTGGAGATGCCCAGCCTCTCGCGGGGGTGTCTGTTCTGAGGAGGTTGGTGTATCGGGGCCAAACAGGTGGTCTCAAGCATGGAATCCTTTTCCCCTGTGGGCTGAGGGTGAGGACCAGGTGAGAGGAGCATTTGAGCGCCCATCTTGGGCACTGTTGTTCCTGTGTGAATTGGCTTCCTTGAAGACCGCACTCTGCTCTCTGATGGACCTTGAGACCCCCAGAATCGGCCCAGGGCTATTTTATTCCCTAGAATCCTCGAGCCCTGGGGAGTCTCTGGATGATGGTAGTGGACGCCAGGTGAAGGGGCTGCCCGGGTGAGGGGGATGCAAAGACACTGAACAACCCCACCCTATGTCAGGCCCAGTCCACCTCCTCCTAGGTCCTGTGCTTCCTCTCCCAAAGTTGAGGCCGGCTGTGCCAAGAAGCCCCTCACTGGAGTCTGTGGGGCTGTGCTCTGGGGGTTTGTTCAGACCTAGGTTGGGGATCTGATCATAGCTGTGGTTTCTGACTGATGCCTGCCCCAGGCCTGCCTGGCCCATATCTGGTCTCAGCACCAGTCCCAGCAGGTCCTGTGACTGTCCTGCCCGTCTGTGGCCCAACTGCTGAGAGGTCTGACCAAGAATGACCCCTTCCCTCGACACATACACACACACACACACACACACACACACACACACACACACACCTGGAGCTGAGAGGTCTGACCAAGAATGACCCCTTCCCTCGACACATACACACACACACACACACACACACCTGGAGCTGAGAGGTCTGACCAAGAATGACCCCTTCCCTCGACACATACACACACACACACACACACACACACCTGGAGCTGAGAGGTCTGACCAAGAATGACCCCTCCCCTTGACACACACACACACACACCCATCCCCAGATACACATATAGTAAGGCAGGGAAGTAGTCAGGGAATCTGATCACAGCACAGATTAGATCAGGTCACACCCTGGCTCCCCATCACAGTTCAGATCCACACTCCCCACCAGTGACTGTGCCCACTGCCTTCCCGTTCCGCCTTACCTCCTGCCACTCGCCTTCACTCAGTCCCTTCCCCTCCAGCTCCACTAGCCACTGGACTGGGCTGAGCTCGTTCCCAGCTGCTGTCCCCTCTACCTGAAATGCCTGCCTCCCTGGCTGGCTCTGACCTGTCATTCCAGGCACAATTGCAGCATCACCTTGGAGGGGCCTTCCTGACCTTTCTTTCTGAAACAGTCCCAGTCCGTTGTCCCACCACCTAGTAAAGTTTTCATGTTGAGTACTGTCACTACTTGGAATGCTCTGGTGCCTTTAGTTTCATATTTAGTTACTGTCGGAGGCCCTGAACGTGAACTCTGTGAGAGCAGGGGCCAGACTCCCTCGAGTTTGTCCATTCCTGTATCCACTGGGATTAAGAGTAATGCCTGGAACATAAGTCAGTGCTCAGTGTGTGTGTGTTGAGCCTCATTATCATTTATTGAGCACCGCATCATTAGGAGACGTATGGCCAGACTCTGGGCTAAATGCCTTATGTGCATCGCTTCAGGAAGAGGCTCAGCTCTGCGCTTCCTGGCTGGGGGACAGTTAACAGTTCCACTCAAGTTGGGAAGATCAAGCAGGCTGAAGCGAGACCTGGGGAAATGCCTCTTCACAGGGTTCCTTGCTCTTCCCCCCTCCACTCTTGAAGAAACCAATTGCCTTGAGAGTGCGGCGGACCTGGTGCAAGTCTTGGCTATCACTTTTGAGTTGTGTGACCCTAGGTAAGTGACAGTCCTTCTCTGGGCCTCTGTTTCCTCATCTCTGAAATGGGGGGCAGAGTCCCCCGCTGAGGAAAGGCTTTGATGCGGGTCAGAGGCTGTTCTCACCCCAGCCGCAGTCCCCGTCAGCCTGGAGAGCGGCCCCTTTGCCATCCTGCCTGCCTGCCGCTGCCCCGCTCGCCCGCCGTCAGTGGGAAGAATACCTCAGTCGCACCTGGGCCCCCAGCCCAGGCCCACACATACACCAGTCCTCCTCTCACTTTTCATTCTTGTAAATTGACGTCAGCGCTGCTGAATCACGAAGCTGAGGTTTGAGAGGACCTGTACCTCGGGGAAGCCACACGGCGCACGCCGCCCCCCCTCCCCGCCCTCCTGCCCTGCAGCGTCTGCACTGCTGGGCCCATCTGTTACCCAGGGTCTGGAGTGCAGCTCCCGGGGGCTTCTAGGTCATTGCAGGTCACTTCATGTATGGCAATATAGCTTTAAAAAAAAAATGACTCACAAAGAAAAGGGGCCAGGTCTGGGGAGTGTGAGTAGAGGAGCTTTAGTTTCAGCTGTTTTGCTAAGGGAAATGGGTTTGAGTTTGGGTAATGAAGATGTGACTTCTAAGCTTTTTTTTGAGAGGGGGAAAAACCCTGGAAATATATAAACTTGACTGTGATTTGTCCCTCCTTAGATGAGGACCTGTTTCCTTATCTGTAAAATAGGAATGTTAGTTAATAGCACCTAAATCCTAAGGCTCAGGTGAAGGTTGAATGTTTTAATATAGGTGACTAGGCACTCAGAATGGTGACTTCCCAGTGATGCTGATATGTTAGCAGCTGCTACTGTTATTATTTCGACTGTTAGGCCCTCACGGGAGGCTAGTGCTACCCAGCCTCTGAAGCAGTACTGTCTGAATTTGCCACCTGGCTCCACCACTTGCTGTATGCCCTACTTTGTCTCTCTGAGCCTCAGTTTTCTCATCTATATAAAGGGGGAAGAGGTTTCTAACTCACAGGCCAGTTGAGAGGCTTCAACAAAGTAGCACAGGGCCCAGCATACAGTAAGCGCTCACTGAGTGTTTGCCGTATGCCCAAGCACTGCCTTCATGGTTCCTCCTTGCCCTGCCAGAGCTGGGCAGGAGACAGGAGAGTCTGAACAGAAGACTTGGGCCACAAAGCACAAACAAAGGGATGGGAGACGATTCAAAGAAGAAAAAGCAGTGATTCCTTGGAGGCACACAGACGTCATCTCCCTCCCTCCTTCCCTCCCAGCCCGCCTCATTGAAGGATGAAATTGCCAAAGCTCTCTGAGATCCTAAATCTCTCCCGGCCATCCTTAACCTTGGGGCCTGGAACCTGTTTAATCCCCAAGACAAGCCTGGGCCATGCCAGCTTTCCGGCTATCAGGTTCATTTTATGCTGCAGTTTAAAGTCTGAAAGGTATTATTAAATATCAGGACACTCCATTATCAGCATGTCCAGGACTGCAGAGGGCCACCCGGAGTTCCACAATTGAAGTGGAATGTGTCTGTGAGGCCGCTTAGCCCCACACTGGAAAATGACTCGATTCACCGGGCGCAGCACCACAGCCCCGAGCGGCCAGCAGACCGGCCACAGAGCCAGGGTAGCCATAAAACCCATGTCCTGGGCACTCTCTAGTGATGCTGGCCAGCCCCAGTTCTGGAAAACATCACCTACTCCATCCACTTTGCATCAGTGCCTGCTGCTGAGGGCTACAGCAAGGCAGCCTCTTCCAGCAAGCCATTTCAGAGGCAGTCGCTGAGGCCCCTAGCGGCAAGGGGAATTGCCCAGAGCTGCCAACAGGGCCCTCCTGCCACCACAGACCACAGAGCGTCTTTCTGGTTGCAAGTTGCTTGTTCACCAAAAAGTACACAGAGACAAGACAGGGCGGGAAGAAGGAAGTTCAGACCTGACCCTGTTATCCCCATCCCATCTCAGTATCTCTGTCTCCCTAGATACCGAGTTTCAGAATGTACCACTCCTCCTTCCAAAAACTCATCAACCCTCCCACCCCCACCCTCTTCCTGGAAGAAGCTGTGGTCACAGAATGAAAGAAGTTTCCCCTCTGTCATCCATTTCAAACAGATTTCTGGGAGGACGGCCAAAAAAAGGCCCAAGTGTCTTCTCTAACACCAGAATGACCACAGGCAAATTTACCCTGCCTCGGTTTTCTCTTCCATAAAATGGGGATAAGAGCCTTGCTTCATAGGGTAGTCTTTATAGATGAAGTAAATTTAAGCATATGTAAATAAAGTACGGAATAGGACCTGGCACACATTAAGTACTCAGACACAAAGTACCCTTTTGCCAGACACACAACACCAAAACTAGACCAAGGGTTCCTCTCCCTCAGAGAGCTGAGGGTGAAGCCATGTGGGGTTCCCGGCCACAGAACCTGGGGGGGCCAAACACGACCTTCGGCCACACCCAGGTCAATATTAGGAACCCGGACCCACTCAGAACCGTGGAAAACCTTTGACCAAAGCACACGCTCTAGAAACCTTTTTTTTTTTCTTAAAAAAAAATTTCATAATAAAGTTTATTACCTAACTGGTGGTAAAAAATATAAAATAGGATTCTGCACAGCAGAAAAATAAAGCCAGAGACCCTCCCCCAACCCCTGGTTTGTGCAAAGATACTGGATATATGTAAACATGAAGAGGTAGGAGGTACGAGTTCAGGCCCTGGCCCCACGTACAGTTTTAAATTAAGCTACTACGACAACCAGGGGGACCCAGAGGGAGCACCAGGAGGGGGCACCCTCAAGAGTTGGGGAGGGGTCTGCGGCCTGGTCTCCAGCCCAGGGCAGGAGGCGCCTCGCCCCCTACGCCCGCTCCCTCCAACCCAGGTGGGGAGGGCACCCACATGGTCCAGGGAAATAATAATTAATAATAGAAAATAATAAAAGGGCGACCCAGTTAATGCTGCGGTGCGCGGCCGGTCAGATCTGGAAGGGGAAGGAGCTCAGGTAGTCGCGCAGGACGGGGTTGAGGGGGATGCGCGCCAGGTTCTCGCGGCCCACGGTGGCCACGATGCGCTGGCGGCACAGCTCCTGCAGCGGCCGCACGCGGCGCTGGCGCAGCGGGGCCCCCAGCATGCGGCGCGGCGCCGCCACGTAGTGCTCCAGAAGCTCGAAGAGGCAGTCGAAGCTCTCGCGGCTGCCGTCCAGGTGGAAGCGGCCGGCCTGAAAGTGCACGCGGATGCTCGTGGGGCCCGAGGCCATCTTCACGCTGAGGGCGAAGAAGCAGTTCCTCTGTCGGCTGTCGCGCACCAGGAAAGTGCCCACGGGCTCGGCGCGCAGCCGCTCGTGCGCTCCGTGCACGCTCAGGGGCCCCCAGTAGAAGCCGCAGGCGTCGAGGAGCGCGCTGGCGCGGGTGATGCGCCGGTACTCGGCGTGCGAGCGGAACGTGCGGAAGTGCGTATCGCCCGGGGCCGGGGCCGGGGCCGGGGCCGGGGCGGCCGGGCAGGGCCGCAGGCGCGCCGGGGCCGCGGACGAGGGCGAGGAGGTGGAAGAGGAGGAGGAGGAGGAGGAAGACTCTGGCCGCCGTCTGGGCTCTGCTGCCGTGGAGATTGCATTGTCGGCTGCCACCTGGTTGTGTGCTACCATCCTACACGCAGGGCCGGCCGGAGGGGTGGGCCATAGCGTCCGGGGGTGCGCTGATGGGGGAGACAGGCAGTGAGCAGGGAGTCCGGGTGCGGCTGGGCAGGTGAGGGCCCGCGAGGCAGCTCGGGAGGGGCGGGGCCCTGGGCTGAGCCGCTCCTAAAAGGCCGAGGGCTCAAGCCCGCATCCGCGCGGTCCTGTGGGACTCAATGGACTCATCTAGAAAATGGGCTTGCCCGCCGGCGGCGCCCTTGCTGGCAGGTGGGAACTCGGCGGCGCGCTGTGCCGCCTCCGAGTAAGAGTCTGAGGAGGGGGCGTGGACAGAGGCGCCGGGCAAAAGCCTGCCCCGGACTCGGGCCACCGGGTCCTCGGCTCACCGCCCCGTGGTTGCCGCCTGCCGGCCAGGCCGGGAATAGGCGCCTCGTCCGGGCGATTCGGGCAGAAAAGCAGGGAGAAAAGCGGAGCTGCGGGTACCCCAAGCGCGGGGTCCGCCAGGATGGACCCCGCAGGGGCCAGGGGCGTGGCGGCCGCGACCCAACCACGCAGCCCCCGAGGCCGCCGCGGCCCCGGGCGGTCCCGTGCGTTCCTCCCCTCTCCCTCCAGCTTCGTCGCCCAGCGTCCGTCTCACCTGGCGGCGGGGCGCGGGGCGCCGCGGGCGGGGCGGCGGGGGTCTCCGGGGCGGCTGTCGCGCATGCTCCGGTGCCGGGAGCCGTGCAGCTGCCACGGCCGCAGCTCTTTCTGGTGCGCGCCCGCCCCTGCACCAGTCTTTTAAACCGGCTTGGAGGCGTGGGGTTTGCGAGGCCCCGCCCCTGACGGCTCCGCCCCCTCCAGGCCCGCCCTTCCGCGCCACTTTCGGTTTCTTTTTCTGCGCACCTCGGAGGCCGGGGCCGCTCGACTTTTCCCACAAATCCGGGACCCCTCCCCGGGGAGGTCCCCCAGCCCTGACCTAGCCTCGCACCTGTCCTAGGACCCGTCTGTCAAGGTCTCTAGCACTGCCCTTGAACCTCCGGGGCACTTCTCAGCAACCCCTCTGTCGGACCTGGCGGCCCTCCGGTACCCCCACTGCCTTCGGTCGCAGATTTCTGCCGGCAAGCCCATTAGGATACTCCGGACTGGCCCTGACACACCCGTCACCTCCTCCAGGTGTCTCAGCACCCATCTCTGGTAGACCTGTGTCCTCTACTCTGGAGCCGGGCACCTCCACCCTATCCCGGGTCTCACCTGGGACCCCTCGGGACTGCTGCCTCCATCGCCCTGCCCACCTCGTCCCAGAGCCTCTAGATCGCCGCCTCCGCATCCCTCTCTGCCTGTCGCTGTCCCTGGTCTTAGCTTGGGCTTCCCAGGAAGCGGCGGGTTGACCACAGGCTTCGGAGGAACCCTTTGGCGGCGCGGGAGGGGTACCTCGACTGCGCGCCCAGTTCCTTGGAAACCGGGTGGGGCCTGGCAAGGTCCCCTGCGGCTTTGGCCTGCCTTTCCTCCTATGAGACAGCTGGAGAAACTGAGGCCCAGTGACCGGCAGAGGGAGAGCTCCAAACGAGGCACACCCTGCTCGCTTTTATTTTGGGGAGAGGAGGGAGCGGCTGGGCACCTTTAAATGCACTTTGGAGCCCAGTGAAAAGACAGTTCATTTTCAGATGTGATCATTCCAGAAGCCTACTCTGAGCTTTCCTGGCCAGTCCCTCCTCTTCCTTCCTCCTCTCTTTTACAGATCCGCCCCCCCCCAACTGCTCCCTCCCCACACTCATACCTTGGGGCTTGGAATGTTGGGGTACCCGCTACAGTTTGTACATTTGTGTATGATGCTGTCTGTCATAGAAGGTCATGGAATAGGTGCCTGGCTGGTACATGTTTTTTTGAATGAAAGAAAGAACAAATGAGCTTGGGGGCCGGCTGGTGGGTGGTGAGTTTCGCAGTTTGGAGGGGTCAGGCGGAGTAACTAGGCTTGGCAGGGTGCTGCCCAACGCTGGCACACACTGCCCTCTACAGGCGACTCTTAGGCTGCAGCCCAGCTTGCTGCCTGGCTCTCAGCCAGCGCCATGTCCTCCTGCCAGCCTCCCTGGCGCTTTCCTGCCCTGGCCCCAGGCAGAGCCCGGGACCCCCATGTTTCCTCGTGAACACACGAGGATGGCCCAGAACCCGCCTTGTATAGGATCCCACTGTCTCCTGGAATTCGTATTGGCAGCAGCTGATGTTTGTCATTGATGTCGTTGTCCTGGGTTGTGTGTGTGTGTGTGTGTGTGTGTGTGTGTGTGTGTGTGCGCGCGCGCGCGCGCAAGGGCGTGAGAAGATGCATAGCCATGCCTGTGCCAGCAGCTGATGTTGGTCGTTGATGTGGTTGTCCTGGGTTGTGTGTGTGTGTGTGTGTGTGTGTGTGTGTGTGCGCGCGCGCGCGCAAGGGCGTAAGAAGATGCATAGCCATGCCTGTGCCAGCAGCTGATGTTGGTCGTTGATGTGGTTGTCCTGGGTTGTGTGTGTGTGTGTGTGTGTGTGTGTGCAAGGGCATGAGAAGATGCATAGCCATGCCTGTGCCAGTGTTCAGGCGCTGTGGTCATTCTGGAGCACCTGCGGGGGCCTGCGCTGTGGTGGGTGACAATACAAAGCAGTGGTTAAAAGCTGGACTTTGGACGCAGTCTGCCTAGTTTCCAATTCTAATTTTGCAACTTTCTGTCCCTCTGACCTTGGACGTGTAATTAACTCCCTTGCCTGGTTTCCTCATCTCTGAAGGGGGTAATAACATCTCCCTCATGGTGTGGGGATTAAAAGAGTAATTAGGGGTCACATGCTTACACCAGTCCCTGGTGCATCATAGGCATTCAGTATGTGTTTCCTTTTGCTGCTGTTGTTCATTGGCGGCCGTCAGCAGCTGTGGCAGCATATTGGAGCTCATGGCTTCATGTTAGAAGTCCTAGCGTGAGGAAAGCAGACCACAGACAGCATGGTGGAGTAGAAGGAAAGTGTTGCATGGTAAACCAGGCCCCTGGCTGCTGGCAGTGGGGAGACACAGCACCTCCTTCTCACTTGAGCTGGTCGCGGGTGGTCCAGGCCCAGAGAAGGCAGCCAGGCTGGGCTGGCTCCTGCGTGACTTGTCTTCCTGCCAGCATGTCTCCTTGCCCAGAGCAGATCTATAAATATCTGATGGCCCATATGCCCCCTACCCCTCATTGACAGCCTGGATGGCTACTTCGAAGAGTTCCCTCTTATTCCTGAGCACTAGGACCTTCTCCTCTCAGCCCCCTACTTGTTGCCACATGCCCACCCATCCCCACGGAGCCCCCTTCTTCATTTCATTTACTGTTAGCCATGACGTGTTAGGTTCTTCCCAGGTGGCACTAGTGGTAAAGAACCCGCCCGCCAGTGCAGGAGACATAAGAGACGTGGGTTAGATCCCTGGGTCAGGAAGATCCCCTGGACAAGGAAATGGCAACCCACTCCAGTATTCTTGCCTGGAGAATCCCATGGACAGAGGAGCCTGGCAGGCTACAGTCCATGGGGTCGCAAAGAGTCAGACATGACTGAGGCGACTTAGCACGCACACACATGATGTACTGGCCTAAACTGGCTGGGTAATAAATATTTTACAGTCCTTGGACCATTGGACTGACACCACGATCCAATCTGCCCATTTTACAGATAAAGAAATTGGGGGGGGGGTCACTCACCCAGGAGCACACAATTCAGAAGGGGTATGGCGGAGGTTCATACCCAGGAGGTCAGACCCTAAAGCTTTCACCTGTGTTTGCTGTGCTGTAAACTCCCTTCCTACCTCCTCTCCCTACCCTCCACCCCAACCAGATTCCTGGTGATTTCCAATCCTGGTCTGTCTTCTGGTAAAACAGTAGATACCAAGGAAATCAGAGGGATGCATTTGCATCCTAAGCCTGCCTGGGGAGGAGTGAGGACCATTCTGCCGACTTTCCCCTTGTTTGTAAGCTTGGGGAGGCTCCAGGTCTTGGCAGTCAAGCTTCTGTCTCCCCGTTTTTGGCTCTGGGCCCTTCTGAGTTTCAGTTTTCTTGCCTGTACAGTAGGCCTGGCCTCCTCCTCCCTCCGCCCCAAGCAGATTTTGGTTGTGCAAGAGTGGTGAGGCAGGCACAAGTTGCCAAGCACACGTGGGTTCTCCTCACCACTGATGGTGACAGTTACTACCACTTTGGTTTCATTTTCTAAAGCCCTGAGTTCAAAATGAAACCAAATCCAGATACCAAAGGGAAAAAGAAATATGGTGATTGACAAGCATCCGTCTCCTGAGCTGTTCTCCGTGGAGGGCTCGCCCTAGACTCACAGGAAGCTGGGCCACGTGCCGTGGAGACCACAGGCCAGCAACTTGCCCGTGCTGGACCTCATTGGCCCCAGCTGCAAAGTGGGTTTTGGAAATTTTATACCTCACAGAGCAGCATGAAAGCACAGCCCAAAGCAAGGGGCCAGGCACAGAGAAGGTGCTTCTTGGCACAAGCGACTTCTTGTCATGGGCAGTCGGGGCAGCCCTGTGTCCACAGCTTTCTGGGCCACAGCAGACATGGGGGCTGGTTCTCCTCGCCCAGCCTTGGCAGCCCTGGCAGGTGCAGAAGGAAGGGGCTTAGCCAGCAGCTGGAAGGAGTCAGGATCTTGGTCCCCGGAGCTCAGTTTTTCAGTTTCTTTTCTAGTTTTGGTGAAGTCCTGCTGGGAAAAGCAGCCCCTTCAGGTCGTGTAATCTTGAAACTGCCCTCTGCCCAGTGCTCTTCAGCCTTTCTTTACAACCCAGATTCCCGTGGGAGTCTGTACCTCTGGGGGCCCCGCGAGCAAGTGGGTCTTAGAGCGTGGATTCTGGTTTCAGTCTGTCACTTAATGAGTCCGTAGCCTGGGACCAGCTTCTTCACTTCTCTGAAGCTCAGTTTCCTCATCTGCTTGATAGTGCTAATGACATTTATTTCACCCATTCAGTGTTTATTCAACAGGTAGGACGTGACTGATCAATTGAGCATACATACACGTACACACATCTATTGAGTGTCTACTATGGGCCAGGCACT